CCCCCGGTCGCCTCTCAGCCTAATGACGCTTGGATCAACCGGCAAATGGAAGATACAGCCGCCAGCGTTTGCACAGGCGAAGATTATCCCCCTTGCCCTAAACAGTGGTCACTGGCCGGAAGAGGTCCCGTAATCTCCAACCCCAACGTTTATTTGCTGTCGGTATCGGTGAGGAAACGAGTTATGTCCCCTGACACAGACCAGACGACCAATGTGGCGGCTCAATTAAAGAGTTCACCCGCGCAGAAGTGATCCCTGCACAGGACAGGTCTTTGCCTGTGTGTAACGGAACCAACCCAGTGAACAAGACAGCATATCAGCACACAAAGTATCGGGGGAAATAGTCTCCCCATAATGAACAGGACCCCCTACCCCCCCCCCCAACAATTTTTAAAACCCCAATACATGCACTCAACTTAATCAAAATCCCTATATATCCCTATTCACAGTCTCATGTCTTAGAGTACAACTTACTTCTCTAAGAGGCCAGAAAACAAAAAAGGAGGATTCTATCTAGGTCATGACTTAAAGCATTCACTTACGCAGAAAAGTTCTGTCTTTATACTTATTTGGCTCTACTCTTTTGTCCGTCAGCGGAATTTGCGGACAAAGAGATTTGTTCTTCGCGTTACAATTCGAATAGACATAAGAAGCTTTTAGCTATTTAGTACACCTACTCCGACGCATAAGAACTTGTACAAAGAACAACTGTAAGATAGTAAGCCAGATAGACAATTAACGACCGCCGGTTGTCTCTCCCTAAGGACCAGGCGCTTAAGAAAAAAAAGAAATGGTGCAATGGTTTAATGCCCTTATCAACACTATTAGGTTATTTAAAAGGAGTGATCCGACCTCCAAGTTTAATGTCCATCCCCGAAAGGACTGAGCCAAATGGGAAATTCGTGCAATGTGCCTTTCCCAAGGACACAACTTCGGAACGAGCTCAGGCTCGGACCCCCTTACCCGTTATCTCACGATTACGAGTCTAGAAGCTTAATCATTAGGCTACCGACGCCACTCTCAAGAATCAGGAAGTAACGAAAGACGCCTTATTCACAAAGAAGCGTACGAGAATATTAATCAGGAAAGATAATCTTTGGGGCGTTTGTTCTTTCTGAAACATTAGATCTTCGCTAATGCCGACGGTAAGTGCATGTTACCAAGACTTCCATATTTGGAAATAAAGTCGACGCTGTTTTAACGACCACCTGTCCAAGACAATCACCTGTACGACCTGTCACTTCACACTCCCCTCTTGCAGTGGTTAAAAAAATATCATAATGACAAAGTGGAAGACGCCCACCAGTCTAAGACAGCCGTTTTTCACCTGGACAAAAAGTGGCCGTCTTCGACAATTTCAACGAATGGCCCAAAACCCCAAAGACACCCACATTTCTCAGGTTTACACGAAATACGATGACACAGGAAAGGTTAATCAAAAAAGAGCAAAGTATTCCCTTTCTATTTAAAAACGTAAGTTTCTATCAGCAATAGACGGTTTCTTCTCTTATGCATGTTCTTTTTGCCTTAGAGACTCCCATTGGCCCATCTAGTATTATGTGAAGAGCACAACTGTGGTTTGAAAAGTGAATGGGTTTTTCTTGAACTTTCATTATTTGAGATGTTTTCATACCTGTCCATGTATTTCATTCGACTCTGTCCAAAATGGGCATGATTACAGAGGGCCAGTTCCCAGAATAACTAGAGCCTTGGACATGACCATGATGAGCCACTACAAAACCACAATGATCCAGGTCACTTCGAACGAAAGGCAAAACATATGAACGGCATCCAGCCCAGGCCATATTCCTTTGTGGCTTGAGTCAAAATATTTAAAGATTCCGAAGGGAAAATGATAAGTCATATACGTGCCAAGGTTTAGAGTTGTTACCGGAGACAAACACACAAAGAAAAGAGTGACCGAAAAGGATGATAGATGTTTGATAAACAAAAGTAGAGCACACAAGAGCACCTGCCAACCACCCACAGGGAAAGTGGTGAGATTTGCTCCACGATATATATAAATAAACTACTAAAACGGTAAACTAAAATAAAACACTCGTGGTGGCTAATATTGTGAAAAAAGGATACATTCAATCATAGCTTTGAGGCAAGAGATGGGCTCGGTCTTGTAAAACTTGCGGAACTCCTTACGTATGTCGTAAAACTTGTAGAAGTAGCTGGGTACCGTGATGTTCTTTTTGCAGCACTCATGGTGGATGCACTGCCGTAGGTGGGCCTGGCCGTCAGTCAAAAGGCAGAAGCTCCGCCCACCGTGGTCTGGGTGCACGCCCTTGGCACTCAGGAACCGGTCAAACTGTGGAGCGAGAAAATAACATAATACGTTTTCATGGTTGCTTTTGTATGCTTCCGCAGAAGCGGAGAATGTTTCTGAATGTTCTCAGAGGGTCTGCTGGGGTAATAATAGTTGTAAAGCGCATAGAGCATGCTCTTGAGCATGAATATGTGCTATATAAATGCAATAATAAT